GCATGTGAAATATTTTCCTTACTTAACACAATTAATCACGCAATCTAAGGTAATCGTAGGTTAAGCTCCTTTTTAGATTACCAAGTTTGAATTTTATAAAAATGAAATTCCAAGTTTTCATAAATTAATTTTACTAAAACATCACTTAATACACCTTAAATCAAAGTAAAAAAATGTTTCGAAAGCATGAGAGTGAAAAAACTCAAAAACGGTTGACAAATAACAAGTCATGAAAAATAAGGCAATGTGTCACGGCTGCCCCCTTTTCTATGCCACATGTTGTGGCTCAAGTGCCATGCGCCATGGCATGCATCAGACAACAACTCTGTTGTCATTTGACAATAACCTTGGGTAACTTTCGACATGCCTTATTTCTCCATTTAACGTCCAAATAAGGTAATTTAGGTATATATGAAAAACTCTTTTTATAAATGAGCTAATGACATGGATTTTACTTTCAAGTTAAGTCACAAAAGGAAGTTATATATCCAAACACATATTCAAACTGTTTTCATAATTTTAACAACTTAAGGGTGTCCAAACCCTAAACATGTGCTAAAAGCCATTCATAACACCCAAATCATATTCAATGGACTTAGGATTACCTATACAACACACCACACTACAGTATCAAATTTTTACTCCTCAACTCCTTTAATACCAATAACAGATGAGGGAGGTTTTAGCATTGCATAATCATATCATTATCAAATTCAATAATGTGATAATAGTTACTACACTTGTACCAGTATTTTGGCTCTATTAGCTCTTTAATAACTTACATATAACATTCAAAGGCCTAAAACACATTTCAAATTCTTTAACAACAATATAGTACAAGTGTAAATAAAATGTACCCTAATTGGCAATATATTATCTATTACACAAAATAAACCCATGTAAGAAGCTTTATAGTAAGAATCCCATATTCCTAATCCTCTATAGCTTTTTCTCTTTTCACACTGTTAGAGCTTGTAAACTATTAAAAGAAAGGGGTGAGTCTAGCCACTCAATAATTAAGATACACCTATCCTATACAGTTGTATATCAATTAGATTAAACACATAAGAGTGAGTTAATTACTTAAAAATATCTAATTACATGTGACATAAGTTATAATTTCACAGTTTATCTCATTTTCATATTTCTCATTTCAAATCACAGAGTGCATCACTGCAATACACACAAACATGTGACAATTACCCAACATATCAATTCAATGCACATTGCCATTATATAATCAACCATGTGACAATGGCACATTCACTATCATAACTTGCCATAAATTTAACGACCATGCGACATGTTGGATAAATACATATGATGGGACAAGGCTAAGCCTTCATGCAACGGAAGGCAACCATAAATACTATATGAATTTTTTACTCCTCTCTCTAGGTGAACTCTGGCTAAGTGATCATGTAATGTTTATGCTAACTTATTTCTCAATTCACTTAACATCAACACGTTAGGCTTATAGTATTACACTACCTATGTTAACATCAATATCATATTCACAAATATTCTCCCTTTTGATTTTAAATTTCATAACACATTTCAAATTTTTGTTTAGCCACACATATAACACCCACATGTTAACACAAGCACACTAACATCACATCACCCATCATAAACTTCTCATTTCAATACACATTCATAGTTTGAAAACTCATTTTAAATTCAACTCCACATTTATGTAAGATCAAAATTAATATACTAACATATGATTTATATCATACTTTCACATTTACAAACTCAATCATATATACAAATAACTCATTTTCACATTAAAACTTAATTAACAAATAACTACTCAAAATAAAGTTTTCTCAATTACCTCAAATATTTAAGAGATCAAAGATTTACCCCTTAATATGCATTTCTAAACTTGCTTTCCAAGCCAAATATAGTTCGGATGATTGATTTATAATTAATCAAGTCCAAACTCATCAACATTACCACATATACACTTCTAACTCTCATTTTTCAACACTTAATAACCTAAAGTCTTTGTCTATTACATTTAAGCTTATACATTAAGCTCATTATCATCTATTAAGTTCCAATAACTTCATTAAATCCTTTTAGGGTCATTAATATCACCCAACAACCCTCATAACTCCTATTAAATACTAAAATTTTGGACATAAATGCCCAACAACCTCAATTAATGAGTAAGCTTCTAATTTCTAGGTTTAAATACTCAAAACAATTCTCATTAACTCCATTTAAGTCAATGAATTCGGACTCATAGTCTATATGGATCAAAAATCATCTTCCACTTACGAACCCGAATTATAAATTGAAGAAAATGGGTTGGGAAGGAAGTGAAAGAGGTTAGGGGTGCTTACTCTCAAGGTTTGGAAGCTTCAAAATGCCTCTAATCTTCTTGAAATTGAAGCCTTGGCAAAGCAAAGATTAGCTCCTTCGTTTTTCCCTTCTTTCTCTTCTAATTTCTATTTCAGTTTGTGACTTATTTTTGTAGAAAATGTACCATGCGCCGTGACGCTTTTACCACATGCTACAACATGTGGTACAGAAAGATGAACTTCATGTTCTAGTGGCCCATGTGCTGCGGCATGTAGCATAGAGCCATTTCTCCTTGTTTTTCTCACTTTTTCATGTTCAAGTGGCCTGACTTCACTTTAGACTCAATCTTGAGGTTGAAATCACAACCCAAAACATCTGTTAACTTTTTATAACCACACTTCGCATAAATTTACTTAATTACCCTAATTTATTTAGCTAATTTGGGGTTAAATTTTCTCAAATGTTACAACACACCCCCAACGGTGTCTCCCCTGTCATCATCAAACTCTCCTCACTCTTGCTTGAACTCATCTAGTAATGCAAACATGTAAAGAACTTTGAGAATGACGTCTTCTTAGATTTCTAGCTCCCCAAGAATTACAAGCTTTGCTTGAGTTCTTTCACCGTTGTCTACTCCATTGTTCTCTTCATCTTCTTCATCCATCTCCTCTTCCACATCGTCCAAGCTGTTTGTGAAGGGGGGGAGAGAGAGAGAGAGTAGAGAGGGAGTGTAGAGATAGAGGGAGGATAGAGTGGGATTTTTATATTATAAAAAATATTAAAAATAGTGGGACTCACTAAAATAATAAAAAAGTTAAATGTGGGCCCCGGCCCCACAAATGGGAAAAAATTAATGAGACAAACGGCAGGGCAATGGATTTAAAAATTTTAGTGTTTAAGGAATATAAATAACCTATAATTGAGTTTAAGATTATTTATGATATTTTATGTACACTTTATAGGCATTTTTTACGCTTAACCCAAATTAAAATATAGATCACAGTATTTTACAATTTTTTTAATTGACAAAGTTACAGTCAAGACCGTGCTATTATAAAAAAGTTACTAAGAGTTGGTGCGTAAAATTTTTTTGCACCCTAAGGATGGAACTGTGGCAATTTTAATATCGAAACTAATAATATTCACTGCAAGCCAATCAACATATTAATTTGGGGCGGAGGGAGCAACAGTTTATCTTTTTATATGCAGAGTGATTTATGAAAATAACTACTAATTTGTTCTAAAATGTAACTTCTGTATGGTCGATGATGGGGGAGTAAAACCAAACAAAAGTTTTCTTCTTAGGGCTAATTGTTTTTGAAACAATAAATGTTCTGAAATACAAATAATAACAATATCATAAAATTTATGTAAAAAGATGTGGAAAAAAGTTAATTCTTAAATTAATTGGTTCCACATATAAAAAGATTGTAAAACCAAATTTCGCACTGTAATCGGAAAAAAAATTCAAATTTCAGAGTGACTCCGCAAGGAATCGTATGTTGCATTATTTATAAATAGCGACAGTGATAAAAATATATTGTCACCTATTAAGTAATAAATTGACATTTTAAATTAGCGATTATTATCAAAACCAATAGTAATGTTTTCATAAATTAATTTAATTCAATGCCATGCCAATGACCGATGGATGCTTTTGGCAACAAAAGCACTAATTTATCCAGTATATGAATAAATTTCATATCAATTATTGTTATTAGATTTAATTAATCTTTTATTAAATTCGAATCTTTTAAAATTGGGTATGAGACATACTATTTTTAATTTTTTATAATACTTTATGAAAATATTGTTTTAATATTTTTGGTCAATAATATAACAATTGATATTTTGGGACCAACCAATCATTTAGTGGAGTAGAATATAAGCAATGCGTTGCAATTAAGACAGGTCAGCACTCAGCAGTAGTGACCAATGAGACCCTGGCTCAAAAAAAAAAAAAAAGAAAAAAAAAAAGGGCTGCAACGATACTTGGTGACCGTTCGATACTACGTTTTCTGGGGAAAAAAGTGATAACTACGTTTCATAATTCATACTCAACGGAGTCGGCTTTGCTCATCCACGCACCGATCCCAAGTCCAAATTTAATATTTTATTTATCTATTTATTTATTTATATTAAAATAAAAATTTATAAAAAGTTTTAATAAATTTAAACATCAATTTAAATAATTTAAATTTAATTCAATTCAAAATTTAAATCAATTATTAAATTTAAATTATTTAAATTAATAATTAATTTTAAATTAAAATATATATTTAATTTTTTAACTTTACACAACGTTTTATTTTATTTCAGTGCTTTAATTTTATAAATTATTATTTTAATATTTTAACCTTATACAGTTAGTTTATTTTAATAAATTTTTATATTAAATTATTAAATATTTACAATACATTTTAAATATTGACATATTAAATTTAATTTTTTAAAATAATAATAATTAATATAAAAAATAATTATTTAAAATTAACATTATTAAAATTAAAGAATTTAAAAATATTTAATAAAATTAAAGAATTAAATTAAAATTTTATATAAAATTAAAGGATTAAAAGTAAAATATATTTTAAATTTATTAGATTTTTTTATATTGATATAAATAAAAAATAAAATATTAAATTTAAATATTTAATCTAATTTGGATCATGCTTCCCGGGAGCGGCGAAGCCGAGTACATGCTCAACCGGGGAAGTTAATATATACTCTCCCTCTCGCTCCCTCACTCACGGGCAAAGCACCACCGCGCGTGTTTCTCACTTGGTCCCTGTTTATAATCCTCGAGATCCTTGCTCATGCCCCAGCTCTCACTCTCTTATGCAGTGGAAGAAATTAATTTCTCTAATACAGATAACAATGGCGAATTGCCTCTTTCTTCTTCACAGCTGTGCATCCAGGAATCCCAATAGATTGCTTCCCAATCTCCCCCTCATCATAACAACCACCGTCTTCTGCACCGTCTTCTATCTCATAGGCCTCTGGCAGCACTCCTCTGGCCTTGTCACTATTGATGCAGGCTACGTCGTCGCCGATTCCATCTGCCTCCTCCCCAATTCCACCTCATCTTCTCTGTCGTCCCCGCCCCCGCCCAACCTCGACTTCACCGCCCACCACCAAATCCCAGGCCCTCTTCCTGCTCCGGAGGCGGCGCGCGATTTCCAATTCCCTCCCTGCGACGTCTCACTCTCCGAGTACACACCCTGCGAGGACGTCAACCGGTCCTTGAAATTCGACAGAGACAGATTAATCTATCGCGAGAGGCACTGTCCGGATCCGGAAGAGGGGTTGCGGTGCCGAGTTCCGGCTCCGCACGCGTACCGAGTTCCGGTGCGGTGGCCGGAGAGTCGCGACTGGGTTTGGTACGCTAACGTGCCTCACAAGGAGTTGACTGTGGAGAAGAAGAAGCAGAACTGGATTCGGTTCGAAGGGGACCGGTTTCGATTCCCTGGGGGAGGGACCATGTTTCCTCGGGGTGCGGACGCTTACATCGACGATATCGGGAAGCTCATCAACTTGAGAGACGGGTCCATCAGAACAGCCATCGACACCGGGTGCGGGGTGAGTTTTGCCTGCCGTTTTTTTTTTGCTTCATCCGGTTTCAGATTCCCTTCTTTTCCACTCTGTTTCTTTTGCTGGCCGGGGAGTTTACTTCTCTATTACTTTGTTAATCGGTTCGATGCGGCGGATAGCTGGATTTGAAACTCTTGTTGACTCTTGTCAAATTTAATCTCTTGACGTATAAAGAGTGATCGCTGAGTTTTTGTCGGCTGTGTCGCTTTCGCTGCATGATGCATCATCATCATTTTGGAAGGGATGGGAGTGTGGTTGTTTGTAATGTTTTTCCAGTATTCTTGAAACAAATTCAGTTTCTGTTTGATTTTCACATCAAATTGTTGGTTTTAAATTTAATATTCTAATTAAAATATTAAATATAAATATTTGAATTTGATGTCCATCATCTAAAGTTAAAATGAGAGAAGAATAAAAGAAAAGGAACAAGAATTGAATTGCAATATAAAGCATTCTTATCTATATTTGTCTGGGATTACATTATTGTTTTATAATTTGTTTTGGAATTTAACTGGTACTTACACAGCACATTGAGAAGTTTCCTGTGTGTTTTGTTTCGTTTGCTTTCTGTTTGATCTTTTTAACTTTTGAGGGTGAATTTGGCAATTTGTTTTGGAATCTTCTGAGAGTCCAGATGCCATTTATGGGTTGAAGGAGGATGGAAATACCTTCTGGGTCCTCTGTTTCCATTTTGAAAAAGGATGTCTTTCTATGGAAATTTATAATTAATGACATCATTGTCCTAATCAACCCAGTGTCATGTCATGCTGTTTTTATTTTTCGCGGTTTTGTTTTGCTGTCTTTTTTTAGTATTTTAAAATAACTTGACATGAATCTTGAACGAGATAAAATTTGAAAAATGAGCTTGTCATAATAAATATGATTTATTAAACTTTTACATTACATATTGATATGATTCTAACAACAAAACAAAAAAAATTATTATAGAATTTGAGTTGTAATAAAGAATTTTTCATTTCAAATTTAATTCATAAAGATTTTTGTATGTTTATTTTATATTAGAATTAGAATAGTATAAAAATAAAAAAGACTAAATTATGCATTTCTTGAGCTTTTATATCTTGCTTAGATAATCTACTCAACTTTTAAAACTATACAATAAATCTCCTAAACTTTTACATTTATGCTCATATCTCTCCTGTTAGTAATTCATTTATTATTTATTTATATATAGGTCAAAATTTATAGAGGTTATCTACATACAAGTTAAAGTTTGAGAAGTTATATGTACACAAAAATAAATTTTAAGAGTGCATATAAAGTTTGAGGGGGTTATTTGGATGGCGGATTTAAAAATGCAGGGGGTTTGTTATAAAGTTAAAAAAATTGAGGGAGTTATTTGTATAGGGTTAAAAGTTTATGGGAATTTTGTATAGGTTTTTTTTTGGACAAGGGAATTTTTTATAGTTCAAATGGCCCTATTGTATCATAATAAGAATATATTTAGGATCCAAGACCTGCACTACGAATTTTGTTCCTTATCCGAATATTAAAAAAAGTGAAAAAGGAGTAATCTTGAATTGCTTCGGCTGCAATTAATCAAATTCTTCAAACTGAAGTAAAGTAGTTATAATGAATTTTGTTTTGTTCGCGCGCGTGTGAATTAACAAAGATTTGAATTAATATAGAAAATGGAAGCTTGTGAAATGAGGGGGAAAATGACGGAAGGGAATAAAATGCAACGAATAATATATGGTAGAATATAGAAAGAAGTGGAAATATAAATTCATTTGTGTTATCGGGCAATGAAGGGCATATTGGACAATTATGTGTTTTGGATTAATTGAAAGATTTGATTAGAGTTTGAACGAGAGGTAGAGTTAAATTGAGTGGAGCTAGTGGGGAACGAGGAGGTTGAAGAAATTAACGAGAGGTGGGGTGATCTGGTGATGATAAGGAGCGACTGTGATGAAATTGGAAATATGGATTGGGCCTATAGACATGTTTCGCGTGCTCTGTGGTGCTCTCTCCAAGTGACATGGGTTCCCATCCTCTCCCCTTCCGTTAGCGTCCCTCTGCAGTCTAATCTTAATTATCAGACAATATCTGCACTGCATGTTAAATTTGATTCTGGGTTTATCACCATACGTGTCACGTCATTCGCTACATTGAACAAATGAAACGTGAAACTGATTCAGGTTGCGAGTTGGGGAGCGTACCTGATGTCACGGAACATATTAGCAGTCTCATTTGCACCCAGAGACACGCACGAAGCTCAGGTCCAATTCGCTCTGGAGCGAGGAGTCCCCGCACTGATCGGAGTTCTCGCCTCTATCAGACTTCCTTACCCTTCCAGATCCTTTGACATGGCTCACTGCTCTCGCTGCCTCATTCCCTGGGGCCAATACGGTACATCCCCAAATCCTAACACTCGATTTTACTTTTGTCTACGCGGAGAACTGATTGCTCTGAATGCGCAACGATTGATGATGGACCAGACGGGATATATCTCACGGAAGTGGACAGAGTGCTGCGGCCTGGAGGGTACTGGATTCTGTCAGGGCCACCAATCAATTGGCAGAAACACTGGAAAGGCTGGGAGAGGACTCGCGAGAGTCTTCAACAAGAACAGGACGGCATCGAGGGTGTGGCTAAGTCGTTGTGCTGGAAGAAACTGGTTCAGAAGGAGGATCTCGCAATATGGCAGAAGCCCACCAATCATGTTCACTGCAAAATCACCCGAAGACTTTTCAAGAATCGTCCCATGTGTCACTCATCACAGGATCCGGACACAGCCTGGTACACTAAACTGGAGACCTGCCTGACCCCGCTGCCTCGGGTGCGTGACATAAAAGAGGTGAGCGGCGGAGAGCTGGCGAAATGGCCAGAGAGGCTAAACTCGGTGCCTCCCAGGATTGGCAGCTGGAGTGTGAGGGGAATCACGGGGGAGATGTTCAGAGAAGACAGCGAATTGTGGAAAGAGAGGGTGAGAATGTACAAGAGAGCGGATCATCAGCTGGCGGAACGAGGGAGGTACAGGAACGTGCTTGATATGAACTCTCACCTGGGAGGCTTTGCCGCCGCGTTAGCATCGGCCGGTGATCCCCTGTGGGTCATGAATGTGGTCCCGGTGGAGGCGGAGATCAACACGCTGGGCGTCATTTTCGAGCGTGGTTTGATCGGTACGTACCACAACTGGTGCGAAGCCATGTCCACTTACCCGAGAACATACGACTTCATACATGGGGCCGGGCTGTTCAGGCTGTACAAAGAGAGGTGTAAAATGGAAGATATAGTGCTGGAGATGGACAGGATTCTGAGGCCAACGGGGAGCGTGATCGTGAGAGATGACGTGGACGTTGTGATGGGGCTGAAGAGCATGGCGAAGGCAGTGCAGTGGGAGACGAGAATAGAGGACCATGAGGATGGCCCTCTTCACAGAGAGAAGATACTCTTTGCAGTCAAGCCCTACTGGACTGCTTGACTTGTCTATTCTTTTGTGCCTCCTCCCTCCCTCCCTCCCTCTAATTTTTCATGCAACCATCACTGCCCTTGCTCCCTATGGTTTTCTGGCCCTTCCTTCATTATGTTTAATTTATACAGTTCCTACAGAAAAAGTCTTTTTCTTGCAGCAAAGGGAAACATCTCGTGTTTATTATATTCGTCTTGTTATTTAATACCGGAAATATTTATCTATTATTATTATTTTTTGTTTCAATCTATTAGTCATATTTTAAAATTATGAAATTACTCAGTTTGATTTTTCGTTCTCATGTATCAGCTGGTGTTTTCTACTATATCTTTTGGCCCAAGTTCTTCGATATTTTGTTCACCCGTTTTATTTGAAAATGATTTGAGCGTCCGGCTGATAATCGTCGGGAAAAAAAGCAAGGCAGGCTAATCCATACCAAAAAAAAAAAAAAAATAGTTGAGGAAAAGTTAATCATGTTCTCTCAAGTTTGCAACAATTTATGCGTGAGGCCCTTACATTAAAAATCAATTTCAAAATCATCCCACAGCATTTATTGGTTGCAAGGTTATGTTATTTACTTATTAAAAGATTTTAAAAAAAAAAGAAAATAAAGACTGGTGCCAGAACATTTAAAATGCAGCATATAGATGGGACTTGTTCATAAAAAAAAAAAATGTATATATATATATATATGGGTTTAACGCCTTATTAGTCAAGGAAAACTTGACTAGCTCCATCGAATAATCTGTCTAGGGATTGATGCCTTCGATTTAAAACTTCTATATCAAATTGAAAATTGAGGTGGATGATGCACATTAATTAAACTATTAGTTTTCCTTCAAAGATCTATCTATTGCCGCATTACAAATTACGAACAAAATCTGACTATCCGCGTACCTGTGGAATCTCAGATCCTTCGTCCTGCATCTAACGCGACTCCACACTTCTGAAACCAGCCTACGCCATTGATATAACCTCCAAGCAATTTCTTCTGAATTTGTATAAACTCCCCGATCCTTCAATTCAAACTTCCCTTAACCCATATGCGCGTTTGATCAGATCCAATCACTCCTCCTGATGGGCCAATCGAATTTGCCTCCCAAGCGTAACTCACGTCAATGGCGGCTCTTGGACGTAGTAACAGCGGCGTTCTTTGTGTTCATATTCTTGTTCTTTGTCCTCGTCTTCACACCTCTTGGGGATTCGCTCGCCGCCTCCGGTCGCCAGACGCTTTTTTTATCTAACTCTAATCGAGGGCAGCGCCACCGTCTCATTATGGCCATCGAAGCTGGGGAGCAGCGAACCATCGAGGCTTGCCCTCTGGATGCACTGGACCACATGCCGTGTGAGGACCCGAGATTGAACAGTCACCTAAGTAGAGAAATGAATTACTACAGAGAGAGGCATTGCCCGCGACCACAGGTTACGCCGCTTTGCCTGATTCCCCCGCCTGAAGGCTACAGGGTTCCAGTGCAGTGGCCGGAGAGCTTGCACAAGGTATAAGTACTACACTGCTTGCATCCGGTTAAAATGCTGAAATGTCAAATAAAACAAGACGTGGGTGTGTGAAAATCTAAATAATTACAAAATACAAGTAAAACAAGAAACGCGCGCGCGCATGTGAGCACTACGTTGGTTTGAATACTACCAAGTAAATTCTGTTACATCAGCAAAATTTTTCACTTGCTATATAGATATTTGTGGTCTCTTGAGAGTTTTTAAACGTGATGAATTTAAATTCCGTTTTTTTACACACGTTTCTCTAGCTTGAAAATTAAGAGGAAGAAAAAGGTAGATTACATTACATTCCCCCCTTTTTCTTCACCTTTTGTCTTTTATATCCAACGGGGACTTAATATCAATAAGATATCTTGTATGTTTCTTAATTAGTAATTCACTGATTTAAAACCATTTCTACATTTGTGCAGATATGGCATAGCAATATGCCACATGATAAGATTGCAGATAGAAAAGGTCACCAGGGATGGATGAAACGTGAAGGCCAACACTTTATTTTCCCTGGTGGTGGTACAATGTTTCCAGATGGAGCTGCTCAGTATATTGAAAAACTTGGTCAGTACATCCCAATAAAAAGTCACATTCTGAGGACTGCTCTTGATATGGGGTGTGGGGTAGGAGCTCTTCTCCTATTTCCTTCTGAATTTTCACAAGAACTTGTTATTGTTTTTTTATTCCTTTGGCCAAAAGAACTTATTATTGTTTAACATGTAAGTATATCTATCATTTTATAGGTTGCTAGTTTTGGAGGATATTTACTAGCTCAAGACATTTTAACTATGTCCTTTGCTCCAAGAGATTCACATAAATCACAAATACAGTTTGCTCTTGAAAGAGGAATACCGGCAATGGTTGCCATGCTTGGCACTCGCAGGCTTCCATTTCCTGCATTTGGATTTGACTTGGTGCATTGTTCTCGTTGTTTAATTCCCTTTACAGCCTACAGTAATCTCTTCATTCTGGCTTACCTTTTTATATCTTATAATCTGCTAGACAATAGCCTCTTCTCTAATGCGGAATATCTGCCCTGCAGATGCAACTTATTTTATTGAAGTGGATAGATTACTTCGCCCTAGTGGATACTTAGTCATATCTGGTCCCCCAGTGCAGTGGCCTAAACAAGATAAAGAATGGTCAGATCTCCAGGCCATAGCCAGAGCTTTGTGTTATGAGCTCATAGCTGTAGATGGTAACACAGTGATCTGGAAAAAGCCAGTAGGAAATTCATGCATGCCCAACCAAAATGAATTTGGCCTTGAGTTATGTGATGACTCCGATGACCCAAGTTCTGCTTGGTAATTTGCATCAGACTTAATAGTTTGAGTTATTCTTCCTCTTATTTTTTATTCTCTTTTGTCATTTTTCTTGTTAGTGATCTTCTGTATTAGGTGGACTATTTTAAATTTGATTCACCCTATCATAATGTTAGCACTTGGGTTAACTTTATTTTGTTAAAAGATTACTTATAATAGTTATTTGGGATTTCAAAATTGATTTATTTCACAGGTACTTCAAGCTGAAAAAATGTGTCAGCAATACAGATTCTGTCAAAGGAGACTATGCTGTTGGGAGAATTCACAAGTGGCCGGCAAGGCTCACTGCAGCACCTCCAAGAGCCACAATCATGAAAAACAGTGCTGATGTGTTTGAGGCTGATTCCAGGAGGTGGGTGAGGAGGGTTGCTTACTATAAGAATTCTCTAAACCTAAAGTTAGGTACTCCAGCTGTTCGCAATGTCATGGACATGAATGCATTCTTTGGAGGTTTTGCAGCAGCACTTGTATCTGATCCGGTGTGGGTAATGAATGTTGTTCCACCTCGCAAACCATACACTCTTGATCTTATATTTGATAGAGGCTTTATTGGAGTTTATCATGATTGGTGAGTTCTAGCTGAAAGATTTATGCATCGGTTATTGAAGAATTTCAGAGTTTAGAAATGATTGAATCACAAACAAATAGGAGTTGGATTAGAGTGCTAGGGTGCAAAATCCAAAATCCCAAAGAAATAGCTAATATGAATTTTAAATAAAAAATATATTGAAAAAAATGAGGTCACAATAAAAAGGCCTGACAACCTAAAACAAATGAAACTTATAGTTATCTTATTGTAATAGAATAATATGATGGTACAAAGCTCAATACATTGCCTTCTACAATAAAAAAACTAATATTAAAAAGATTCTGAATGATAATAAAAATGAAAATGTTGTTAAATGTCACGCCCAATAATGCACAATCTTTTCACATCTTCGAAAAGAAAAGACTGACATTCTCCAACGATTATGAAAATGATATGATTCATGATTTAAGCATATAAATTTATGCAATCCAAGCTGACATGGCAAAATCAAGTGATTTTTTAATTCAAAAGTTGCATACAAATATCGGGTATACTTGAAGTTGTGAAGTCAAATACATTACAACTTGATGTAACTTGACTGTGAAGAATATAGTTGCAGAACTCTCTTTTTTAAGTCGAAACCTATAATGACACATGAGAAGTTGATTATGCATTAATTATTTTTTCAGAGAATGAGTTGTTGTAGTTGTGTTGTATTACTGTTGACTGTTGTATAGATTTTATATTTCTTGGTATTTTCACTGCAATACTGACCTTGATCGGGGATCAAGGATTAGGCTTTCTGATCTCCACTATGCATCTTAATTTGACTACTTTCTTAAATTTATATCTTACACTATATTTTCACTCCAGTTTTCCATTTGTCTGCTATCAGTTGTTGGGCCTGTGCTTTTCCTGGCAGTTGCTCTATTGTTTTTAGTCTAGTACTTTACTACATATATCTAGTTGAATTTGAACTCATCAGGAGTATTAGTTGTAGCTTTGACTCACTGAAAGAATTTAAACTCGTGTCAGCTTGTTTTGATGATAAAGATTTTAAGGTAAAATACAGGTTACCACCATGTAGTTTTGTCCATTTGTAATTGGTTTCTTGGATTTGAGAAATAGTTGTTAAAGGTCTGTGATCTAAGGTTCTGTTTGGGTAGGTGTTTGAAGGGCTATAGAACGCTTGTATGGAGCCTCCTGCAATTCAAAGTAAATTGTTTTCTTAAGGCTGCTAGGCTTGAAAATAGGCGTGGATGCTTCAATTTTGGCTTTCAACCCTCCCAAAAAAATAACCGATGGTTAATCCTTCAGAAAGATTAATCTACATGAGCAATTCTTCAAACCTTTCTTGCCATGACAGATGCGAGTGTTGATGAATGCGGGGCCAATTTGAAAACAAAACAGAGGGGGGGTGCCAAAATCTATTTTAAAATTTTGTACAGGTAAAAAACTTTTTCCCCCAGAGGCTCATTCTCATTGAAGTGTTCCCCCCCCCCCAGCCCGCAATTGGCCCCTCTGGATCCATCCCTGCAATCTCTTGATACTCTATCATTGTTCCCTCTTGCTTCGAGTTCTTGAGTTCAGTTGTCGGATCAGTTCTCAAGATTTCACTGAAACTGACTCCGAGGTTGTCAAGATACTGTAGCCATCTATTATCTCCTATCTCTATTTTCTTCATAATGGCCTAACGCCCCTGCTTTTCCCTCCACATCCTCTTTATCCAACAGGGTTTGATCAACATAGAAAAACTTTCTGCATCTAAAGTGCCACCAGGTGAAGTCTGTCCCATCAAGTTTGTGAAACTCCATGAAACTTGGTTAAGAATACTTAGCTCCCCGCCATTTCATGGAGCATTCCAGACCATGGACATGGTCCACTTA